TGACTCTGATGAAAATCTAGGGAACTGATGTTGAGACTAGACTCTTATACTCTAAGTTCCTGGAGGTTCTGATTAACAACGAACTGGACTGGAGTCACAACACTGCTGCCCTTTACATTAGGAGTCATAGTGTAATGAGACTGGGGTCTTTTGGAGGACAGGAGGTGCTCCTGAATAATTTTTTTCTTCAGGAGTCATGTTTATCATTTAGTTTACTAAAGAAGTAGCTTATCTACAGCGAAGAGGAAGCAGTTAGATAAGATTATCAGGAAGGCCGGCAGTGTCCTTAGATGCCGCTTTGATCAAATAAAGAAAAATTACATAACTGCTGGATGATATCTTCAACTGTTCACCGACAGCTGCACCTCCAGTCATCAGTCTGTCAAGGTTCTGAAGTTTGCGAACGACACGACACCACTGTCATCGGACTTATCTCAGATGACGATTAGTCCCCCAACAGGTGGGAGGCTGACTATCTGGTGACCTGGTGCAGAGAGAACAACCTATAGCTTAATGCTCTAAAAGCAGTGGAGATGGTAGTGGACTTCAGGAAGAACTCAGCCCCAGCTATTCCCATCACCCTCTGTGACTCCACAGTTGACACTGTGGAGTCTTTCTGCTTCCTGGGATCTTGAGGATGTACTTCCTGCCGTAGCTGAAAAATTCAGCCTGCCAATGACAATGATGGTGCACTTCTACTCCACCATTGAGTCAATCCTCACCATCTCTATCACCATCTGGTACGCTGGTGCCACTGCCAAAGACACTGGTACCAACATCAAGGACAAGGACAGACCGCAGCATGTCAGCCGATCTGCAGAGAAGGTGATTTGCTGATTAATAAAAAAAATTTAAAAAGCTGCAATCTTCCATCTCTCCAGGACTCGGAGGCCTGTAGGTAAGATTGTGGATGATCCCTCGCACCCAAACCACAAACTATTTAAGACACTTCCATCTGGCAGGAGGCTGCAGTCCATCAGGACCAAACCTCAAGCCACAAGAACGGTTTCTTCCCATCCACTACCAGCATTATCAACAAAGCCCAGAGACCCCCGTAACACTGACACTGCCTCTCTCCCTCCTCAGTTCAGGACCTAGAAGCTAAACCAACATAGCAGCTCAAGACCTCCTTCGTTACATTAACGCACTACTGTGTATATATTACATAGCAATATACTATATATTTTTTATAGTATATTGTATGTTTTATATTGCATATAGCTATAGATTCTGTATTCTGTGTATATATCTAATTTGTCTGCACCATCAACACCAAG